TCATTAAATCAAAAGTTAATTGGTTGCACATTTTCTACTATTTGGTAAATATTTAATTTCAGGCACGTCAAAGTTGACCCATAAATTCTTATTAATTCATCATGAGTTTTGAATTAATTTCTTCTTATTTTCCGGTTACATGATTAATTTCTTTCAAATAGATAATAATAATCACAGTTAACCCATGACAAAGGTCACAGTCTGAATGATCAACCTCCTGACTTAATCAACTCCACTATTTCTCAACTTTCTAGAAACCAATCAAGGTCGATAATTTCTCGTTCTACACCACTTGATTATTGCTGTGACTCTTTTATAAACACAGACTCTGTAGCCCCTCATAAAAAAACTACAATAAAAAAAAATTTCCTTTCTTGCAAAAACATAATTCACAAATATAATTTATTTAATGACTTTGGTCATTACCATCGCTAATCTTGCTTAGCATGTGAACTGGTCTTAGTTTAAGCCATTGTTTTCACTCCTTGTGCGCTTGACTTTGCCCACACACCATCGCTTATTTGACTGAGTTACCAAATCAGTACACGCCGCCAGGAAGACATTATTTATTTATTTATTAATTCCCTCCATATAAAATCACACTTTCTTTAGTCACAAAACATTAATACAATTTCCAGTCCAATATTAATTCTTTACATGTGAGTATGATTATAATTATGCACCTCTCTCTGGTTGTGATATTAGGGGCTGCAATATTTACAACAATAGCAGCAGCTCGAGCCCTGCCTCAAGCCCTGCCTGGCTGCAGAGATAAATGTGGTGATCTAACAATTCCTTTCCCATTTGGCATTGGTGATGGCTGCTACCTTCGACCCGAATTCAACCTCACTTGCGACCAATCCACCACACCGCCATCGGCAAACTTGACGGGCCACACAATCCGCATTTCTGACTTTTACCTTGCTGAGGCAGAGTTGCAAGTAATGACCTTCACATCCAGAGATTGTTATGACACCAAAGGTCTCAGAACCTACAAGAACACCCCCATACTCTGGCTGCCTCCTCCTTATACAATCTCTGACACCAAGAACAAGTTTGTCGCCGTTGGTTGCGACACATACGCTCTTTTCCAAGGATACAGAGGCGAAGAGAGGTTCATAACCGGGTGCATGTCCTTATGTGACAGCCTAGGCAGCGTCGAATACCAGGACTCTTATTGCTCCGGCATTGGGTGCTGCCAAACTTCCATCCCCAGCGGACTGAAAAACTGTACTGTCCAATTGAGTAGCTATTACAATCATACTTTAATAATGGACTTCAACCCCTGCAGCTATGCTTTCATTGTGGAACAGGGCCAGTTCAAATTCAACAGTACAAGTTTTCAACAACTCAACAGCATAAGTCAAATTCCAATGGCTATAAATTGGGAAATTGGGGATGAGACATGCGATATTGCAGCTCAAAAGAGAGAAGATTTTGCATGCAAGGCAGATTATAGCAAGTGTGTCAACAGGAACACTAACATCAATGGGTCTGGTTACATTTGCCAGTGCTTGCCAGGTTACCGAGGGAATCCATACCTCCCACATGGTTGCCAAGGTAATTGATTTTTCTATATCTTCGCTTCGCATATAATTTATATGCACACAATCTAATAAATATTTGTAAATGCTAGTTTATGTTACTGGTAAGCTCAAACTTGGCATTTTTACCTGATGTTCATGGATTTACTTCCCTTCTTCTCAGATTTTGATGAGTGCAAGGCTTTGAACCCCTGCAGTATTGGATCCTGTGTGAACTTAGATGGAAACTATTCTTGTAAATGTCCCAAGGGGTACAAAAACGACGGCACAAATAAACAGAGTTGCATCAAAGACGAGCCCAGCAATCTCCTGCTGATTATTTCATTGGGTATGTTTCATTTACGTGTAACAGGAATAATCATTTTCATGGTAATATATATTTGATCATATACTTTGTCAAAAACTATTCTGCTAAAAAAGAAATCACTAGCTAGACAACAAAAACAAGACCTATTACTATATATATATTCTTTCTGATCAATCTATCCTTTCCTTTACATCTTACCCCAAAAATGTTACATAGATTATATACATATATCAGCAAATTATAAAAGAAACTTAGTTGTGATTTTTCAACTATATGCAGGTGTAAGTGGAGGTTTCTTGGTTTTACTGGTTGG